GGTCACCAAATTCCCAGGTTGGGAACGCCTGGCCGCCCTGACTCACCCTGGAGGGGCAGCCAGAGCGGAGACCCTCACAATCGGACATGCTGCTGCTGATGGGGAGGTGGCGTGGTGAGGGGCTGGCGGAGCGCATGCAGCCAGTCCTGCTCCTGGCCCGTGGGGCAGCGGCTCCCTGAAACCCACTGGCAGCCAAAGCCCCTCCACTTGGCTCTGCCAAGCACATCCTCGCTGGGAAGCGGTGGCCTTGTGAGGGCGTTGGGGGGGGGGGGGGAGGAGGGTGATAATCGATTCTCAGGAAACCTGAAAAGTAGCTTTTGAGCACCAAACTAGAACCCCTTTCAGGAGCTTTGGGCATGAGGGTAACCCCCACGGAGTGTCCCACATCTCTCTTTCTCTCTCTCTCTTTACAAAGAAAATTGTTCTTTAGTCAATTCTGTAAAATGCATTAGATCACAGTTTCCATTTTAAGTCCAAATCAAGTCAACTCTCGTGTGGCTCGGATAGCCCAGGCTGCTGTTTTCCCTAAGATGACCTCTGTAAGCGCTAACATTGTGGAGACATGTGAAAACAGAGACCAGGGAGCATAAAAAAGCCCAGGTCCCAACCCGTGTTTCCTTTCTTCCTTCCTCTTTGAAATGGAGGGAGCCCTGGCTGACAGCACTGTAGGAGCTCCAGGGGTGCAGCACTGCAATTCGGAGTCTGCTCACCAGAGAAAGCCTAATTTCCATCCATCGCCATCCACCTGACCCTTTTCCCCATGCTGCCCTCTCCCCGTTCCCCGCCCCCTCTGGTAACCACCACTTGGCGGTTCGTACCCATGAGTTTGTTTCTGTTTACTCATTTCCAGCCGATTCTCAATCACTCGCACCCACATCCGTACCCACATCCGCACCGCCTTGCTTGAGAAAGGGATCTTCCCCAGGTAACAGGCCTGGAGTTGGCCTTTTGTCAATTTAGCAGAGGCAAATGACTTGATTTCAACAATCCTAGGTGGTTACTGAACATCCACTGCGTGCCAGGCTCTGTGCCAGGCTCTGTGCCAGGCTCCGGGGTAACGTTAGTGGACAGGCAGTCCCCAACATGTCTGCTGGGAGCTCGTGGTCTGAGGGGGAGAGGTGGAAGGGGGGATGAGGCATAGACAGGCATAAGTGAACACACAAATGATTCCAGATTGTCACGGAGGTGATGCGGTGGGGAGGGAAGGTCCCTGAGGAAACTGAGGCTGGGACTACATGAGAAGGGTGTGGCTCCTGTGGGGAGCAGGGAGCTGGGAGACAGGAGGTGCAGGGAGAGGGGCCCCACAGGCAGAAAGCAGCAGGAGGCAGAGCCCTGAGGCCAGGAAGAGGCCAGTGTCTGATGCCTGGGAGGGGCGGGGCAGGCAGGCCATGGAGCAGGGCTGGATCACACCGGCCAGAGTAAGGATCTGGACTTGATTGGAAGTGACGTGGCGGGCGCTGGGACCACGGATGGCTTCCAGCAGGAGCCTAGTGTATCGTGGAGAAGACGTGGGGAGAAGAAACCATGGTGGGTGTCTAAGCCGGAGCCGCCTGCTGGCTTCCACATGGAGGTAGAACGAGGCATCTGGGACACTGGAGCCTGGAACCCAGGGCAGGTGCAGCTGGAGATGGAATCTGGACGGAGTCAGCCTACAGAGGGTCTTCAGCAACATCTGGAATTGGCTGGAGGAGGGGCATCCTGCTCTGGGACCGAGACGGAGGGCAGAGTCCCAGGGGGAAACCCGGGTGGGCTGCCAGAGGGAGGAACGGCCAGCTGGGCCGAATGCCTCCAGGAAGCAAAGTTACGATTGCAGAGTAATCCCAACGCGTTGAGATTTGAGAGTGGGGGTAAGGGTAGGGGTAGGGGAGCTTATCTTAAAAGGCTTTCCTTAGAGCCTAGGGACGACATCGTAACGGGGGAGACAGTGGGAATGCTAGGCCCCAGGACCTGACTCCCTGCAGCTGCATCCCACTCCTGCCCATTGCCAGCAGCGGCCTCCTCCAGCTCTCACTCCCCCGAGCTCCTCCCTCCAAAGGGAAAACAGCAGAACCTGACTCCCAGCCTCGGGAATTACAAGACAACACGTTTCCATTAAGCCGCCGAGCCTGTGCGGCTTTGGTCCTGGGGCCCTAGGAGACAAGTACAATATGTCTCATCCTCCAGCCCGCCGAGACCGAGGCTACGCTTGGCCATCTCGGGATCCCAGCAGCGGGCACCATCCCTGGCACACGGCAGGTGCCCGGAAAGTGTGTGTCGAGTGAGCGGGGGGGGGGGGGGGGGGGGGGGGGACGGAGTATAGACTCAACAGGCGGAGGAGCTGTCTCTGGTCTCTACTAAGAGACTGGAGCAAATTAGATGCTCAATACACAGTTGTAGAATGAACATTTTAAAGTGAAAGGAGAGCCCACGGCGGGGCTCAGGCGTTGAGCGTTGGCCTATGAACCAGCATGTCACGGTTCCATTCACGGTCAGGGCACATGCCCAGGGCGTGAGCTCGATCCCCAGTAGGGGGCGTGCAGGAGGCAACCGATCACTGATGCTCTCTCATCACTGATGTCTCTATCTCTCTCTCTCTTCCCCTCGCCCTTCCTCTCTGAAATCAATAAAAATACATTTTAAACAACAAACAATGAAATGAAATGAAATGGAAGGAGAGACGCTCAGGAAGGCTCGGCGATGAGCCTCGCTCATCTGTTTTCCTGGAGTTCGGGGTGTGGCAGGCGGGAGCTGATCCTTGCACTCTGAAGGCGGCGAGCGGGAAGAAATGGAGGGAGGGAGGGAAGGACGCAGGAAACGAGACCCGAACCGCCGCCCTTCCCCACTCTCAGGCCAGGCAGAAGCATCCCCTGTGCATCTAACCCAGGAGCGGCCGGCGCCCTGGAATGATGGCCGGGTTTCCGCAGCCTCGACGATCGCGAAAGGGCGTTCACGGGAGAACTCAAACATTGGCGTTTTCTCTAAAACACGCTTCTTTGCCTTCTACTCCCCGGAACCCCAGGCTTCCCCCCCCCCCCCAACTATGTCAGAAATGCAGCTCGGAGCTCAGAGGTCGGCGCAAGGGGGACACATTTCCCGTCCACGCGCAGCGCTCATTCCCGGACCCCTGTCCCGCGGCCAAAAGGGGACATCAGCTGTGCTCAGGGAAATCCAATTTGGCTGACAGCGGGCGGACACTAATGACAAGGCGTCTGCCTTGACCTTGGGAAAGGCGAAGGCGCTTTAGGGGGGGAGGTGGCTAGGCAGGGCAGTCACAGCGGTTGCTCCTGGGCGTCGTGTGGGTGCGTTAAAAGTTCAGGTCAGCCTGAATACAGCAAACCTACACTCTCTTAACTATGACAAAAAAGCCCAACACCTTCTTGCATCCATGAACCGATGGTGAAACTGGTTTTGTCCTATGTTGTTTTACTTCAGGTCGCAGACCCCAACGAGGATGGTACGTGAGGACTTACTGCACGTCAAATGGTCTAGGTCCTAAGTATCCCGTTCAAGGAATTTACTTCTACACCATGGGACCAGCACCCTGACCCTCCGGAGCCCCCCCCCTCCCCGCCCCCACTCCGCACTCCCTGCAGGGAAGTTCTGCCCGCCTGCCCCAGGAGAGCCAGGGTCCCGCAGACGGCGCCGGAGCGCCCTGCACCAGCTGTGTGCATGTTTGTTTAGGTAAGAGGGAAACAGGGTTCTGCTTTCAGCCGATGTTCTTTCAGGTGGCTTTAAGACCCACTCAGGTTCCGTGCATTTCCTCTGCCTGGTTCTCACAGATCTTCCTGTCCAGCGTAAGTTTTTTTTTTATCGTCCTCTAACCCCCACCCCCACCCACTGAGGTCAGAGTCCTTAGATCCCATGCTCAGTATTCCCAGCTGCAACATGGGGCAATTCATACTTTTACCAGGAGGCAGCCTGGCCCAGAGGGAAAAGGCCAAGACCCGGAGGCGGGAAGAACTGACTTCAGACCCAGCTGGGCAAGTTCATGGTCATCTGTGAAATGAGCGGCGTCTCTCAGGCCTGCCTGGTGGCTGGGTGGGCTGAAAGAAGGGACATTTCTGAAGAGCTACTCGGCTGGACTAGTGGACTAGTGCCCATTACTGTTGGCTGCTCCTACCTCCGACTGCATTCTGATGCCACCGCCTCCCACCTTTCCTTCTGCATAAAGGAGACAGGTGAGCCAAAACCGGTTTGGTTCAGTGGATAGAGCGTCAGCCTGAGGACTGAAAGGCCCCAGGTTCGATTCCGGTCAAGAGCATGTACCTTGGTTGTGGGCACATTCCCAGTAGGGGGTGTGCAGGAGGCAGCTGATCCATGATTCTCTCTCATCGATGTTTCTAATTCTCTATCCCTCTCTAAAAAAAATCAATAAAACATATTTTTTAAAAAATAAAATAAAATAAAGGAGACAGGTGAGGTGACCTAAGGCACTTGGTAAGTTGACAGGTAGATGTAGGAAGCAATTATAGGGTTAAGCCTCGGACTGACCTGCTGGCAAAGTTGCAAACAAGTCCCAGCTTGGAGGGCACAGCCCTCTAAGCTTAATTATTACGCTTTGATCTTGTGACAGCTCACTAGATCCTTCCTGGGTAGCTAATGGGCTGTGGGAGGGGCAGCAAGTGCTGCCAAAACAAGTGAGACTTACAAGAACATTGTAAATTACTTAGTTTACCCTTGACCATAAAATAAACCATCATGGAGGAGTCTGGATCTGTTCTGTGGCCTCAGCCCAGCACAGAAGATCCCCCTAGACCCAACTCTTTCTCTTTGTCTGTCTTTTCTCCATCCTTCGCCGTCCCTCCCTCAGGCTCGCCGAACCCTTGGCTGTACTGGCGCGGCACAAGTAGACAAATCTCCCCTCCTCCCCCCTCCGTGATCGGTTCACCATTGATACTCCCATCCAAGGACTTGAGTTGGGTCACATTGTGCACTTCAACGCGCACCCCCCCCCCAAAGAATCCCTCCATGCTCCCCAGGCTGGACCCCCACCCCCCAACAGGCCGGCCAAGGCCACTCACCGATTCCATAGTGTGTCTCTCGAAAAACTGGAGAGCCGGCAGGCTGACGATCTCATGTCTCAGGTGTCACACGCACCAGAAGACGACCTGTATGGGGCAGGGAGAGAGGGACACGCGTCAGCCAGGGGCCTGGGCAGAGCGTGTCTCGGGGGTGTGCTCACCGCTGGGGGGCTGGCCAGCAGGTGCAGGGACATGGCCGGGGAGCCGCCGTCGCAGCGAGCCACGCTCGAGCTGACACCGCCATCGCTCAGGGCGGGCGAGGGCTCGGGAGCCGTCATCTTGCCTTCTATTTCTAGCTCTCCAGGGCAGAGCAATTCACACGTCATTCATGGAAGGGTGCCGACAGGTGCCACAGACAGACAGACAGACAGACAGACAGCTGTGGGCCCTCAGGAGACAGAGGTGTCCTCCCAGCAAAGAAGGAGATAGAGATGAAGATCCATATTTCAGCCCCTCCGCACCCAAGAGAGGGTTTTAATTAATGCGAGCATATCGAAGCTTAATTAACCGCTGAGCGTGCAGAGGGCGGGAAGCCTGGGGTGGAAGGTGTTACATAAGGGAACCGCTTCCGATGGATTCACAGGATGGATGGGAAGTCGAGGCGGGGCGGTGGGAACCAGATGAGCGAAGGGACCTGTGGGGTCCCTCCTCCAGGGATCCCCACCTCAGATCCCGGGCTCTTCCATCTGGGGCCAGACACAGGGGTACTCTTGACCCGCCATCTCCGTGACCCCTGTATCCAATCCATCCCCAAGCTCTGTCTGCCTTATTCCCTAAGGATCGCTCAGCCCCTCCCCCTCTCTGTCTCCACTGGCACAGCCCTGGACCAAGCCACCCTCCCTCCAGCCGCTCCAGCTGCCTAATGGGTCCTCCTGCATCATCCTTTCTTCTTCAGGAAGCTGGTCCCCCACACAGAAGCGAGAATAACTCTTTTCTTTTTATATGTTTTATTATGGAGATGTTTATAAACACAATAGAGAAGCGTTCCGAGAACCCCATGTATCCACCACCTAGCCCCAATCTCCATCAACCCAACTTCATCTGTACCCTAATCCTGCCCCTCCCAACATTATTATTTAAAGAAAAAAAAAAAATTCCAGCCATCTTTTTATTTTAGTCATAGATAGTACAGCATATATGGCTAAGATAAGGCCTTTTAGAAAAAATATAACTGCAATACCAGTGAATATCTAAAAAGGTAACTCCTCAATTCACCAGATGCTCAATGTTCCAATTTCTAATAGTCTCATGAATGTTAAAAATTTTAACAACTGTTTTTAAAAATCCAGATCCAGATGAGGTTCACACCTTAGGACTGGATGAGAAGCAGAAGGAAAAATTTAAAACACAAGTGTGACTGTCATTCCCCACCTCCCCATCCCCAGCCTCACATTTCCCAGTGGCTCCTTAGTGTTTTAGGATAAAAACCCAAGTCACCGAACAAGGTCTGACTCTGGCCCACGTGCCTGGCTTCTGCTTGTCCACCCGGGCTCTCTGCTGCAGACCCAGGACCTTCTCCCAGATCCTGGAACTGGCCACGGCTCCTCTGCCCCAGGTCCTTTGCACATGCCCTCTCCTTTCCCCGGAAGGCTCCTCATGCACCCCCTTTCCCCAGTGAGCTCCTGTCTTCCTTAAGTCTGACTTCCATCATGCGGCGCCCTCCACAATATTAATAACTGTGGGTCAGTTCAATGATTATACCACTCCTTTCAAACTCGGATGCCGATGGTGACTGACTGAATCCTTTCATTGAAGTGTGAATTGCATATTTACATTAGATGGGAAAAATGGACAGTCTCATCCCTGAGTTCCTACGGAAGAGGGATGGACTCGGGAGAGCCAGGCGACCTTGAGAAGGACGGACAACGTTGGAGGACTCACCCTTCCCAATTTCCAAACTGACTGCGAAGCCGAGTAACCAGCACAGTGTGCTCCCCATAGGAATCGCAGACTCATGCGTGACAGGGGGTCAGATCTGAACCCACCCCAAAGCCCGGCCTGTGCCAGCCCAGGCCAAGTAAGACCCTCCCACCCACAACGGACCCACAGAACCATGAGCAAGCAGGTAAATACACCCTCCAGCAGGTAACGGGGTTCGTTACCTGGCAGAAATGGACTACTACACACGGGCACAGGAATTGATGGGCACCAGTGAGGGTTACCATGGGCTGGAAGAAACGGAAGCCTGGCACACACAGAGCACCTCACAGCAATCCTGCAAGGCAGGTGCTGGGCCAGCTTTACAGGTGAGAAAATGGAGGCCGTACTGTGTCCAAGTCAGTGTGTGACAGAAGTGGGACCCAACCCAGGCTGTCTAACTCAGAGAGTCCCAGCCAGGCTCTCCCTCTATGAAAGGGTCTTACAGATCCTCAGAGACAGCTATCCCAGGAGTCCCTGGTCCACTCCTCCCCCCCCCCCCCCACCCTGCAGCCCTTGTTCCCTGAGAGGCTCCCAGGACCAAGCATAGAGGCCACGGGGCTTAACTGAAGCTGGATGCCCTGGGTTCCAATCCAGCTCTGCTCTGAGCAGAGCCGTGGCCTGGGCGGTGAGCCTCTTGGGCTCTCAGATCCCGTGGGGTGTGAAACCCGGCTGCTAACCTTAGCCCGCCTGCGTCACCAGCCTGGCGTGCGTGACCCTCCAGAGAGACGATGTGTGAAAGAGCCGTGTGAGCGGCGACACCACCGTCAGCTCACACCTGCTCCCGAGACCGAAGCCACTCCAATTAGACCAGCTTCTACGTATACGTCAGGATCACACCCCACTGCTTTGGGACCCATTTACACTTTGAGACTGATTCCCCCCCTCCCCAAAGAGATAATTTATTTCCAGTTGAGCAATCCAGATCCATCACAAAGAATAGTAAGGCACGGAACTAAGATATTTGACTATTTGAACACTTAGACATAAATACTGTTAGGATTTTAAGGTTATTTCCTTTCTGGGACTTTGTCAGGGTGAAATACATAATGGCATTTCACTTAAAATGATTTTCACAGAACCAGGGAACTACCGGTAACTAAGAAAAATCCATTGCGTCGTTCATTCATTCATTCATTCATTTATTCATTCCTTGTACCCCAGTCCCATGGCAGGGACTCCTCCAGATGCCTGAAGGAGGACCAATAAGGTTCAGGATCGAAAGGAAATAACAGCCTGGTCCACTCACTGCCTTTTCAACTCAGCAAATAGGGAGCACCTACTGTACGCTGGGCACTTGCTAACAATACCAACAGCAGTCACTACCAGGGCACCAACAGCTTTCTTGCTAGACCCCTACCCATGGCCTTTTGTCTCATTATTAGAAGTCGGCCCTGAGCACAAAGGCCCCTGGTGAGACCCCAGATCCCGGCTGTGGGTGCGTTAATTGTCCTTTCCTGCTTCCCTTCCCGCCTCACAAAGGCTGGGATAACTAAGTCCTCACCTCCTCCCGTCCCAGGGAGCATTAGTGGGGGGGAGGCAGGTAAAGCACGGAGCAAAATGACGCTTCCCCGGAGCCGATGGATAAATGGCACAAGGACTGATGGTATTAACATCTCCTTCAACCCGCACCACCACCCCACAGGAGGCTGAAACGCAGGGGTTTGTGAAGCGATTTGTCCGGGGCCACGCCCGTTCCTCTCAGGAGCCGGGGCGCAATCCTACCTGGGAGTGGAGAACACACCTGAGAATTGTGCCACCAGGTGGGGGGGGGGGGTAAGGAGGGGGAAAGGAAGCGGGGGCATTTATGCTCCGATGCTGGGCATGGCCAGGGGACGGGCTCAAACCGATTCCAAAAGCCGGCCTGCACCACAGGCCCTGTCTGTGCCTCCCCGGCCGGGCTCCTGTCACAGGCAGGGAACACACAGCGTCCGTAAGTAAAGGCTCAATACATGCACCGGTGAGGGTGTGATCCCAAGCCCTGCGGTCTCCTCTGCACCCTCTCGTTTGCCGCTGCCAACGGCGTCGAGAGATTGAAGATATGTACCTCCTGGAGTGCACCAGAATTCACCACCGCCAAGCGCCGCCATGTGCTTTATCCACCCACCTCGCTCCCCCCCCCCCCCCCCAGCCTCTCCTCCGGGGCCTGCGGAGTGGCAGTCAGGACAGTGCGGCCTGCGAGCCAGCAGAAATGAGAGACATACATCATCTGGTGCGCAAACCCGACTTCGCTGCCAAGTCCCCAAATAGGTGCCGAGTTTTGCACGGCAGACGTGACTCCGCGGATGTTGGGACTGGCATCCTCCCGCAGAGGATGGCAGGGGCGCCTGAGTCACCGGCAGCTGGCTCCGGCTCGGGCCGCTTCTCTTTCCCCACAACATCACAGCACACTGCCTTCCTATTTACATTTACCCATGTGATTTCCCCCGTCCCATGGAAACGGCGCTTAGAAGGCGGCCCAAGGCACATGGACGCCCATCTCCCTCTTGTCTAGCCCCGCCCCCTTGAAATCCCCTTTCTTCCAGAAAGCTGTCTCCAACTTCCCAGCAACAATCCATCCACTTCCGATCGCATACTCCAGTGGTCGGCAAACTGCGGTTCGAGAGCCACACGCGGCTCTTTGGCCCCTGGAGTGTGGCTCTTCCATAAAATACCATGGCCTGGGCGGTTCTAGGTTGAAGAAGTGGTGTTAGAAAGAAGTTTAAGTTTAAGTTTTAAAAATGTGGCTCTCAAAAGAAATGTCAATCACTGTACTTTGACTCTGTTGACTGATGAGTTTGCCGACCCCTGTCCTACTCTATTAAGAATGGCGACAATCTCCGAAACCGGTTTGGCTCAGTGGTAGAGCATCGGCCTGCAGACTGAAAGGTCCCAGGTTCGACTCCGGTCAAGGGCATGTACACTGGTTGCGGGCACATCCCCGGTAGGGGGTGTGCAGAAGGCAGCTGGTCGATGTTTCTCTCTCATCGATGTTTCTAGCTCTCTATCCCTCTCCCTTCCTCTCTGTAAAGAAATCGATAAAAATATATTTTTTTAAAAAACAACAAAACCCCCCCACAAAACTGTAAACTTCCTGTCTTTATAGATTTGCCTGTTCTGGAGATGTCATCTATATGGCGTCATATGACAGGTGGGGTTT